CCACACAAAGCCCGCATTACAAATACTTTTGGATTAATTTCTTTCCATAAGAGGGAATGAACAACAAGAAATATAAGAAGGTAGTTCAATACCTTGGTAAGTTTTATTTATATTCTACACCAAAACTAAAACTAAGAAGAAAATATTTTATCTTTATCATAGAAAGTGATATCTACTCATAGAGAAAAATTTTAATAGCTCAGGAATAAAAGTCTGTATCTCTACATGATATCAGGAGATTCCAGAGAAAGACTACAGATGAGAGAGTACTAAAGCCCCTGAATTCCAAGAAAAAAAATTATGTGATCGTCTCAATAGATGCTGAAAACATTTTTTAAAATTCAACTCCCATTACAACAAGAAAGGAAAGGTATCAGGAAGAAAAGGAGATATTCGTAGCATGTTTACACATACACACATCTATGTGTGTATTTGGAATAAACATACAAAGAGAGAAAACATTGCAAAGATTCTCTTTAAAAGTGGGAATGTAACCTGGACATATATGATTATTTAATATTAATGGAAATTCTAGCCACAATACTGACAATATAAAATAATTAGGCATGAAATTTGAAAGAAGGAAAAATTGTCTTAATTGGCAGAGGTCTGCTCTAAAAAACTCAGAAGAATTTGCAAATTATTAGATATAAGGGGAGTGTTTACCTTTAGCAATTTGGCTCACTATGATTTGTATATAAAAGTCAATTAAATTTCTAAACTTAGTAACAAGTAACTATAAACATTACTAAAAGAAGCTGTAATTTATAAATATATCAGAAGATATTAAACATCTGGGAATAAATCTAACAGCAGATTTACAAAATGCCTACAGGGAAAGTTATTAAATTTTTTGATATATTGGAAGTCCTACCCAAAGAAATGCACCAAGTTTCTTGATAAAACAACTCAATATTCCCTCAAATATTCCCCCAAATAGCCTATGGATTCATTGCGTTTACAAACAAAACATGAATAGGATTCTTCAGGGTAATACACATAGAGGGTAATGCACATAAAATCATCTTGGCAAGATAATTTGAAAATTTATATTAATGTGCAAAGGATAAGAATTATTATGATGTTCTTGAAAAACACAAGCAGTAAGAGGGACTTGCCCCTACATTATTTTAGGACTTCTTATAAAGTTACAATTATTGAGGCAGTTTGGTATTGGCATTGGAAAAAGACGAACTGATCAGAAGATAGAAGCGAGAACAGAAAAGAGAAAGAGGCACATATGTGCCCGGTGCTTTCCTATTCAGAGAGGTAACATGTCAGCTCTGTGGGAAAGGAGAGATTTCCACACTCTGCGCAGAAGTCAACCTGAAACGGATTAAGGTTTAAAATGTCAAAATAAAACCTTAACATCCTTAGTGGAAATTATAAATATCACTTAGCCCTTGAGGGAAGGATAACAGTTCTTAAACAAGGCACAGAAAACATTCACTATAGGAAAAAAGACTAGCATTTTTTTGATTATTAAAGATATTAAAATGTGTTCATTAAAAGACACTTTTATTTATTTATTTTTTAAATGGGAATTTCTTATTTTTGATTTATTTATTTATTTATGCAAGCACTGGGTACAGTCAGAAGCGTGGGAGGGTGAGAGAATTCACTAGAGCCAGAGCGGGGAACAGAACAGGCAGAGTGATGAAATACACTGCTGAGGAGAGCAGCGGGCGCAGCAGGAGAAGTCTGCGCGCCATGTGGGACCCTCGCCGGAAGCCAGGTATCGAACCGGCGCTGCAGAGTCTGCGCTCAACTGCTATGCCACCAGGGGAGGCCCTAAAAGACACTTTTAAAAGGGAAAATACGGGGCCTCCCCGGTGGCGCAGCGGTTGAGCGCTGGGTTGCGAAGCTGCCCGCGGCCTCTGCGGCGCCAGTTCGATCCCCGGCTGCTCCCTGGCCACCGGAGGAGGGTCACACATGGCGCGCAGACCCCTCCTGCCGCCCGCCGCTCCCCTCAGCAGTGTACCTTGGCCCCCCTGCCTGCTCTGCTCTCCGCTCTGGCTCTGGTGAATTCTCTCACCCTCCCGCGCTTCTGACTGTACCCAGTACATGTATAAACAAAAAAAAACCAAACAAACAAAGAAAGAAAGAAAGAAAGAAAAAACATGCCTCTATATAAAAAAAAAAAAATAAAATAAAAGGGAAAATACCTAGGAGTGGAATTGCTGGATCATATGGGAGTTCTACGTTTAGTAGGTCCAGAAATCTCCACACAGCTCTCCATAGTGGTTGGACCAGTTTGCACTCCCACCAACAGTATAGAAGAGTTCGTTTTTCTCCACATCCTCGCCAACATTTGTAGTTGCTAGTTTTTTTAATATGTGCCATTCTCACTGGTGTAAGATGGTATCTCATGGTAGTTTTGATTTGCATTTCCCTGATGACAAGTGATGTTGAACATTTTTTCATGTTGTTGGCCTGTTGGCCATTTGCATTTCCTCTTCAGAGAAGTTTCTTTTTAGCTCTTCTGCCCATTTTTTGACACAGAAACATCAATTCCAAAGAGCACCTGCACCCCTATGTTTATAGCAGCACTGTTTACAATAGCTAAGCTTTGGAAACAACCCAAATGCCCAAAAATAGATGACTGGATCAAGAAGATGTGGTACATATACACCATGGAATATTACTCAGCATTCAAAAAAGATAAACACATGCAATTTGCAGCAACATGGATGGCGCTGGAAGGGATCATGCTCAGCGAAATAAGCCAGAAAGAAAAAGAAAAATACCAGATGGTCTCACTCATAGCAGGAATCTAGAAAACTTAAATAAGGGACCAGGAAAATGAATAACTATAAGAAAGTAAAAATCAAAATCAACAAAAAACTATGAACCAGAGACACCCTATGGGGGTGGGGGCAGGGAGGGGAGGGGTTGGGGTCAAAATAAGGGGGTTGCAATTGTATGGGGAATATAAAAATAAAATTTAATTAAAAAAATAAAAGGGAAAATAATTTACAAACTAGAAGATATTTACAAAGCAGAAATAAACACTAGTAGCAAGAATAAATAACCTTTATAAATAAGCAACAGGAAGACAACAAGAAAAATGGGCAAAAGTCATAACAGGCAGTACACATGTAGCCAGAAAACATGCTCAAGATGTTTGATATCACTCTGGTAATAGAAATGCAAGTCGAGATTACAATAACATATCATTTTTTTAAAAGATTTATTTATTTTTCTACAACAACTGGGGGTGCAGGCCAGAGGTACGGGAGGGTGAGAGGATTCACCAGAGACAGAGCGGGGAACAGAACAGGCAGACTGACTAAATACACTGCTGAGGGGAGCGACTGGCGAGGGCGAGACAGGAGAGGTCTGTCCCACCATGTGAGTTTCTCCCTGGCCGGCCAGGAACCGAACCAGCGCTGCAGAGGCTGCAGACATCTTCGCAGTGCTGTGCTCAACCTGCTGAGCCACCAGGGAGGCCCTGCAATAATATATCATTTTATTGACAAAAATTTGTAAGACTGACAAAGTCAGAAAAGATACAGACCCATAAGCTCTCTGAGAGGCAATAACATTGAGACTTTTATTCCTAACACTGAACATTCTTATACATAATAACTCAACAACTCAGGGCCTCCTTGGTGGTGCGGAGGTTAAAGGCAGCTCTATCAAGCTATCCGCAGGCACTGTAGCGTGAGTTCGAGCCTTGGCCAGCCAGGGAGCTAACCCACATGGCACAGCAGACCTCTCCTGTCTGGCCTGCTGCTCCCCTCAGCAGTGTATTTCGGTCAGTCTGCCTGTTCTGTTCCCCCACTCTGTGTCTGGTGAATCCTCTCACCCCCCACACACCTCTGGCCTACACTTACTGTGTACATAAATAAATAAATCTTTTTTTTTTTATATTCCTGTTTTTTTGAAGATTTATTTATTTATTTATACAAGCACTGGGTACAGTCAGAAGCGCGGGAGGGTGAGAGAATTCACCAGAGCCAGAGCGGGGAGCAGAGCAGGCAGAAGGACCGAAGTACACTGCTGAGGGGAGCAGCGGGCGGCAGGAGAGGTCTGCGCGCCATGTGGGACCCTCGCCCGGTGGCCGGGGATCGAACTGGTTCTACAGAGGCTGCAGGCAGCCTCGCAACCCAGGGCTCAACCGCTGCGCTACCGGGGAGGCCCCATAAATAAATAAATCTTAAAAAAAAAAAAAACAACTCAGTAACTCCTCTTTGGATGCATACAGGAGAAATGCGCAGGACTCTTTCAAATGGCGCGATTTACCATAGCAAAATAAAAACAAAAACCAAAAAACCAACAAAAAAACAGGAGACAACACAAAGCCCCACGAAGGGAGAGTAGAGGAATAAGCCGCTATGTTGCTATGCAATGGAATATTCCATAGCTACCCAAATTGTCGACAGTCTGGAAGCATCTCAGCAAAACATTATTAAATGAAAACAATGAGTCCAGGAGCTTTACACAGAGCTCCACATACTTTGTGTAAAGCGAAAAACAATATGTATTCATAATATTGTTAGAAATGCATATAGGTGTAGTAAATGGACAAAAGAGGGAGCACAAGGACCCCATGAGGACAGGATTCAGGATGATGGTGACATCAGATGAGGAAAAACTAGGGAGAGAAGGGGAAATCCCTGTCTGCAGTGATGATGGCTCTATGTAGGTTACTGCCCATCACTTACTTTTTGTTTGGGATAGCAGCACTAGGGATGTTTCTGACATCGTTATACGGTAGTGGACATGGCGTGGAGGAGGGCAGGGGAGGGCAGAAGGGAGGGGAGAGAGGAAAGGAAGCCAGCTCATTTAACTCTGAGCGCTGTCTTGGCATCTCAACAAAACAAAGTTCTCAAGCAGGCCTCTGAAATATCTGCAGAACATCACCTGATCACTTGTTTCCCAGTCTCGGGCCCTGGTTAACTGTCCTCTTTAAGGAGCATAAAGACAGCACTGCTGTGCTGGGGATGCGTGTGTGGGACCAGCGCCAACACCCACGCCATCACCGCTATGTGTTTCAGAAACGCACAGGATGGATACGCACAGGACAGATAGCTCTTGTGAGCTGAAAAGGCACCCCCCTGCCCCACAGGTTTGTGTTTTCCCTTTGTCTTTCCCATCTTTCTCTTGGTTTGTTTTCTTTCTTACCCTCATTTTCTTTCTCCTAAATCTCCACACACCACTCACTCTCCTCTGAAGGTGCAATTGTGCAGTGTTCCCTCAGGGAGACGAGAGTATTAAGTCTGTCCTTGTGGCATCAGACTGCATTTTGTTTGGGCAATTTATATTTTATGGCACACATGTAAATTGCTATGTGGAATTTAATAACCCAATTGAGCACCTTCAGTTGGAGCCAAATTGGCATTTATTTCCTGATTTCTGAAGGGGGTTTCTGAGCTTCAGGATGGGGGAACTTCTTACAGATGGCAGCATTTTGATTTAAAAGACTTTTTTTTTCTGCCCAGAGATCAGTTCCAGACTTGCCCAGCTCATAGAGCTTGGGGGAAGAGAGGAGCGGAAGGTGGTAATTTGCTAAGAAAGGAAGGAAAAACAATAATATTTATTTGATTACATTTTCTCATGTTCTAGTAGGGGGTAAATTACAGGCCTAATGACTTCAGTGTTGAGGGTTTGCCTTGAACAAAGCTTCCTAAGATGTTGAGGGCTTTGGAGTTAAAGAGAACTCACCGAAGAAATAGTCCCTGCTGTCACCACTAGGGTTGGATTTACAAGACAAGCATTTCCAAGAATCCTGCTTGGTTCCACACATTTTTTTCCAGCTCTTATTATACTGACTACAGATGAGAAATAACAGTGGAAAAAAAATTTGGCTTATTAATGATGGATATAGCAACACCCAGCATTAGCGTTTCAAAGATCATTTATTATTGGTCATTTGTAACCTTCACAGCAGCTTTGGGCAGTAATACTCTTATTCCCATTTTCTAAGGGAAGAAACTCAGACCGTCCTTTGCATATGATTTACTAGTTATTTAGGCTTGGGTTTTGTACAAGTGCTGCCTCATATCACTTACCGAAGGCTGAAATCCCTAGCCTCAGCACAGGAAGCCCAGGCCCTTCTTTTAAAAGGCTCTGTAATCCCAGAAAAGACAAAGCACCATGAGTCCAGACCATGAAGCTGTGCTGGGAAGGCCACCAGCTAGGAGGGAGCTCTGCTCTGGCCCTGCACTCTGGCCCAGCCACCTCCCAGGCGCTCGCCTGTGCCCTGGCCTGGCTCACTTCTCCCCTGCTTGGCAGGTCTTGGGATCTGTGCCCTGGAAGAGCAGAAGCATTGAGAATTGGCCAACTTGGGTTCAAATCCAGATCACCTCCCAGAGGAGTGATCACAAAGGGATTATTTACCACTTCAAGTTTTACATTCTTCACCCTTAATTTAAGGAAATTAATATCTACCTTCCCCAGTGTGAAGATCAAATGCAGCAGCAGACGAAGGGGAAGCAAGCAAGGACCCTAGCTCATGAAGAGCCTCCGGCCCAATGGTGTTGCTGATACTGCTCAGCTCCAGTCGGGGCCCGTGACTTTGTCTTAATGAATGGCTGGGTTTCTCATTCTCTTTTTCATAAAATAATAGAGTGTGTGGGAAGGAGGGAAGGAGAAAGGAAGGAAGGAAGTAGGGAGTGAGAGAGGGAGGCAAGACTCCAGATCTGCTTGGCATTTTCCCTAAGGCAGAGGCAGAGGGAGACCGCTCCTCTTTCAGCAAAGCCCAATCCTGCCCTCTGTTAATGATGCTGGAAGGTAACTGCAGTGGCAAAAGGAGCACTAGATTTAAAAAAATCCTTGTGGCTCTAAATCCCAACTCTACCTCCTAATATCTGTGTGACCCTGAGCCATTTCCTTGACCTCTCTGAGTCATATAAATAATACCTGCTCTGTCTACTTTATGGTGTGGAAGAAATTTAAGAGACTAGCCTTGTAGAAAAGATTTTTTTAATTATAAAGCTGTATGATCTCCTGCTATTGTAATTATTCATATTCTATTCTACAACATATATTTCTCTACTAAGAAGACTAATAGTTAAAAAATCTATCTAAAATAGACCAGAAGATTCTTTGTTCGTAGAAGGCCCCACTCCTTCTGGCCTCGACAGCCTGGTCTCTGTGGTCAGGAATATCAGAGGGATCTTTGTTACTGTGAATCACTAGGAGATTTGGGGGATTTTCTAATTGGGGGGACTAAACAAGAATAAAATTATGTGCTTCCTCCATCTCAGCAGGAGAGAAAAGCTTTCCAAACACAGCTAAGGACCTTCAAATAAATGGCTTCTAGTGAGCAGGTATTTGTAAAAGGTTAATTGAAGGTACATCCTACAGTTTCATGAAATCTCAACCCAGGGACATGATTGTACTTGGCTCAATCTACCAAGTTTTCATCTGCCTTCTGCTTGCACTCATCTGATGATAAAATGCCATCTCTCCATTACGGCATTCGACCTTTAAATGGCAAAGAGCCGCTCTGTCATCAGATAGAGTCATGAGAAGCCATAAAGGAGGAGACGAAGTTAGAATACTAAGGCATCTGAAGTCAGCACAGAGCGTTATAAAGCAAGCGTGACTTCCGGGAGCGTGCAGAGGAAGACGGGGCTTCCAAACTCCCCTCCGGAGCCCTTTGCTCAGGGCTCGAGGTTGCTTATTGAGAGTTGAATCTGCACCCACCCACTTACAGCCTCCCCTTTTCTAATTTAGAATTAAACCTCCTTTTTTAAAAACAACACCATCCTTTCCATCTACTTCTTCCAAGATTTAAATAATAATAACATACATCTGATTGCCAGTTGCATCCAATGCGTGGCACTCTTTACTTGGGCCATTTTAAATGTCCTTCATCACAAACACTGAAAATTCTCCAGTGCTTGGACATTCTCGGTAAGATCCTGCCAGGCAGGCTCACCTGCAGGCAGGGTAAGCAGGAGTTAATGCACATCTCTGCCATCAAATTGCTGGGTGTTTCTGCCAAGCCACTTAACCTGTCTGTGCCTCTCTTCCAGAGCTACAAGGTAAAATGAGTTTAATAGCATCACCTCACCTTCTAATGGGTGTGTTTTCAGGAAAAACTAATGCTACACCTGTAAAACACATGGACAAGTAGGAAACATGACACGAAACCTTCATCCTAAGTTTTCATCCAGGGTGATGGAGAGGAGAGGGATGGTAGGAGGAGAGGAATGGAGACAGCTGACAGGCAGATGGAGGGAACACAGCACTTCAGTGTCATACTCAGAACAGCCACGTTCTTCAATACTTCTGCACACCAGAAATCAATATGTAATATCTCTGGCATGAAAGGCACACTATGTCGTACATAAAGGGAGAATGAATCGATCAATCTGGCAATTTTAGCTTCCTAATTCAAGCTGGCTTCCCTGACATCTCAGAATTCAAAAATGACAACTGTCCTTATTATTTGTGAATTCATCTTCCTATTCTCGGCCACCGTAGCCCCTTTTTGCCACCCTTCACACTAATCTTTGTGCAGTGGGGAGGTATCACCAAAGGGGACACCTTGAGGAATCGCAAGGTTGTTATCATCAGCATCTTAAGGAACTTTGCTGAGGCCTTGGTGGTTTCATTTAAACCAGTGCCTTATACCATCTTCAAATCAATATCTCCACATTTATCTGTTAAGTGCACCAAAGTTAGAACAGGAGTTAAGGAGATGCAGAATTAGAGGGATAGGAACCTATACTCAAAAATCAGAAATAAGGCTACAGGTATGGGACAATTCAGACATAAAATGCAGTTCTAAGTAAGTCAAGGTTACGGTATGGTTGCCAATCTGTAGGGCTTGGGAGAAGGAGAATTGTCAGAACAACCTTTCCCAATAAATGAAATTGGGGTGTGGGCTGATGTGGGAGATGATGAACCTGTACAAAGAAGAGAGAGGTTTGGCATTGAGGGGCAGGGCTATGAAGGTGCCTGAAATTGGATTGGAGAGTGTACTGGGGACAGTGGTGTTTGGTCATCTGGAACCAAGATTATGGGGGAAATTGACAGCCATGTTGTTTGTCTTATTTTATGTAAAACATTTAATAAAAGAAATCTTTTTTTCTGGACCAAAATGTATGGAACTTATAACAGCCATCTGTGACTCCAGTTTATTTTTGACAGATTTACAGAAGTCAAACTTTCAGCTAAGTGGGTTTTTGTTCCCATCCCTGCAGGGGCTGCTTCATGGTATCACCACCAAAACCTCTGCCTCTGAAAGTATAGTTAAAATGCCATTAAGATGTAAAATAGAGTGTAAGGTAGGCAAACCCCAAATTCTGCAGTTATACAGATGACAAAATTTACACAGAACAGGGAAATGCCTTTTCGCAGCATAATTTCAGGGATTTTGAAATGTGTCCAAAGTGTCAAGGTAGACAGTCCTCCCCCACCTTCTGGCAGACTGAAATTCCACTAACAGCACTTAATCCCTTTAGTTGAAGGCATTGATCCCTGTTAAAATGTCCATATCCATGGAAGCGTTAATAATTTAAGCTGTCCCCTCAAGCTACTGTCCCATCTTTTTCTTCCTTTCACTGTAAACTTCTTGATTAAGTGGTCTACACCCGACAGCCCCCATTTCCTTACCACCCACTTTCTCCTTAATCTCACAAAATCTAACTTTTGTACCCATCTCTCAACAGAAATCATTATCCCCAAGGTCACCAAAGATCTAATAATTACCAACTTTTCCTCATCATTTTTTTTTCAAAGATTTATTTATTTATTTATTTATTTATTTATTTATTTATTTATTTATATAAGCACTGGGTACAGTCAGAAGCACCGGGGCGGGGGTGTGTGAGAGAATTTACCAGAGATAGAGCGGGGAGCAGAACAGGCAGACTGACAAAATACACTGCTGAGGGGAGCAGCGGGCAGCAGGAGAGGTCTGCGTGCCGTGTGGGACCCTCGCTGGCGGCCGGGGATTGAACCAGCGCTGCAGAGGCTTGGGGCAGCTTCGCAGCCCAGTGCTCAAGCGCTGCACCACCAGGGGAGGCCCCTTCTCATCATTTTTAACCCTTCCCTTTGCCCTCTTTGGAGCTCTTCTTCGTCAACCATTCAGGATATGATGACTGTGAGTCTCTAGATGTTCGTTCCAGCTAGTTCTCTCGGTAAACTTCAGTGCTTCCTCTTCCTTCCCTCAGATGCTAATATTTGTAAGTTACTCTTACTCTTCCTTCCCTCAGATGCTAATATTTGTAAGTTACTCTTACTCTTACTAAACATGTTCATCCCTATTATGTCTTATTTTCAAAACTTCATGAGGTAGGTATATAATCGGTCTATTAAGGATGAGAAAATTGAAGCCCAGAGAGTTCCTAATAAGTATAATAAGAAGTAGACTTGATGAGTTAACCTAGGCTTCCTGAGTCTAAGTCTGTGCTCTAAATGTGGACAAATCTTAATGGCTTTTCTCAATCCACTTGTCTTTTCTCTGTGCCCCTCCCCTGCCCCTTACAACATTGGATGCCATTGCTTCCATCACTTGAACTTATCCATTCAACAGGAAAGAAGCTGTTCTCCAGGATCTCAAAAATCAGGACCTAGAATATGGCAAACACATCTCTAGTCACAACCCAAAAGGACAGAAAGCCAGAATGAGGAAAGGTTGAGTTATGGGTTAGAATTGTTAACTTTTATTCTCATTAGTCTTATAATGATGGACAAGGTATTTAGTCCTTTTTATCCTTACCTTCCTAGTTTGTAAAATCCAATTTTATGAGGGCAAAAGGAGTTAATTTGGGATTAATATTTTAAATATGGTATCTGAGACATCTAAATGTGAGATACTGTTGTTGGCTCTAATACAGAGACCTGAATAGATGCTCTTGCGTTCCCATTCCTTCATTTCCCCTTCTTGGGCTTCTGTCTTTCTGTCCATGATATGAGCATCATTCATTCTCCTAATCACCTAGATTTGAGATTGTGTCCTTTCCCTTATCCAATCAGCTTCCAGAAATGGTTTAATCTGTCTTCACTGCATTGTTCTCATCTGGATCACCCATAAGCCCTCACTGTGTTCTCTCAGCATTTGACCTTTCCTTATTCCAGTTCAGTCTTTCTGTGTCAGCAGAACTGAGTATTTCAAATATACAACTTTTATTATCTATTTTTCCAGTCTGAGAAACTTCTGGTGGCTGTCCACTGCCTACAGGTGAAGTTACAGACTGTTCCATGTAGAATTCAGTCATCCTGGACCTGACCCCTACTCATTCTTTTTCTCTCTTCTTCTCTCTTCACTCCTGGTCCCTATCTTCTGTTCAAAGCTACTGTTCTAACCAGAAGTTGTATCTACAACATTAGACAGTTGATTTATAGTCCTGCCTTCCCCATTGTTATGTCCTTATCCTCTACTAAGGAATCTCCTGGGATACCCTCTGTTAGCTTCTCTATCTAAATTGGCTGGTTCTTAGCTCAGCTTCTACATGCTTCTTCTCCAAATGATACTGACCTACAGTCATGTCTCCTGTCTGTCAACAACTGTTTATTAAT